GTCTTTTTTTAATCCGTTAAGTTATACGACCAGGGATACAATTATAAGGGGCAAATCGCCACAAATTAACATTTTTTGAACAATTTTAGTTAGGAAAAATAAACACATTGTTCAATTCGCGTCAAAGAAAACCAATAAAACCCTAAAATTAAGAAATAATTGCAAAATGCGCTAACTTTACCAGTCGTGCAAAAGTCTCAAGGATGGCGATACAAAAACGACAGTAATAATCTTATGTTCCGCCTCCATTATGCCAAATTATCAGAACTCATCGTCTCAGAGTGGGGATGTATGGCCGTTTTTACGGATTCGTTCATTTCTTTTTTTTTTTTTTAATTTCAGCAGTTTCTCTTTGCCAGGGAACTTTTTGAGGACAACTAAATTCCCAAGTAAGGGCGGAATATCAACTTTAGAGTACTCCAGCCCAGCGTGGGACTGTGACAAACAGTCCAAAGCGAATTTTTCTTTTTAGAAAACTGGATTTAAAGTGGGGATGGTTCGACTCGTTTAGGCATTCGTTCATCTTTCGAAATTTTGGCACACGCGCCTCTCCAGGGAACATTATCAGGACAACCCACTTCCTAGCTAAGGACAGAATATAAAATGTTGAGCCCTTGAGCTCACCCTGGCACTATGGCTACGTTTCCATGGATGCGACCATGGCGCATCGAATCGAGATGTGACCAGTCACGGGCCCGCGATCCTCCTTTCCCTTCCTCGTCTACCCAATCATAGGCGGTTAATCTCGATTCGATTCGCTACGATCGCATCCATGTAAACTCAGCCAGTGTCCAATAGTCAAAAACGATTCTTCTTTTTTTTTAAGAAAACCGGTCCCACAGTGGGGACGGTTCCGTGGTTTTTAGGCATTCGTTCACCATTTGAAATTTGGGTTGCCGCGCCTCGCCAGGGAACAATTTTGACTCTAACCCAGTTTCCAGCTAAAGGTTGTATATTACAATCTAGAGCCCACTAGCCGATCTTGCTACTATGGCAAGTGCTCCAAAGTAAATTCCCTTTGAAAAAACCGGTTTCAAAGTAGGGATCGTTAGGTTGATTTTTGGCATTCGTTCATCTTTTGAAATTCGGGCACCCGAGCCTCGCCAGGTAACTTTTTGAGGACAAACCAGTTTCTAGCTAAATAAATAATATAAAATTTAGAGCCCTCGAGCCCATCTTTGTATTATGGCAAGTAGTCCAAAGTAAATTCTTTTTGAAAAAGACCGGTGCCGAAATGGGGATGGTTCGGCTGATTTTAGCCATTCGTTCTTCTTTTGAAATTTCAGTATTTGAAATAATTAGTATTTGGTACTACATGTATTGTATGTAAATAAATGTTTCTTGTCTTCGAGTTTTATGACTTTTAGAGTTTTGTTTTGGGAGTGTAAGGCTCGCTCGGGGGTGTACAGCTCACTCCATGAGTACTGAAATATATGTTGTTAGGATGACGATGTCGGCAGCAGAAAGGAAGGAAGAGTACAAGATGTACACACAGTATTTATGGAGACGAGGCCACTACATGGAGGCTGGCGCGAGATGGTCGTGCGTGCCACTGTCCCGTCGTCGTCTTCCATTTTCTAAAAATAAATTAGTATCACAAATACATTTTAGCGCCAAAATTTAGCTGGAAGTATTATTAAGCTGTTCATTTGATATACTTCTCAAAGATATTTTAATTTCGACAAAAAAACTACCAAACTATTTACAGATTTCGATGGACGATGTCAGACAACAAGCCATAAATGGCCGCAGTGAAAGTAGGCACTAATTTTGCAATCCCTACTTGTGCTTCACACTCGGGACGGAATTGACCTTTGCAAACAAATGGCGATGTAGAAAATAACCCATTGTTACTTCCCTCCATAAAAAAATACTTATAAGAATAGAATGCAAATGGTGATCTTCAGTTGGTCACCTAATCGGAGTTACGCTGAAAAAAACTTGTGTGATTCCACTGACAGCCAGGAAAAGTTAATTACTTAATGGGCCAACCACACTGACAGTTTTGAATGCGAATAATGCAATATTAGAAATTACCTTTATTTTTTTTTATCAAATTGAATAATGGGACCGGGGAAAAATCCCGTAAAATACCATCATGGCTCTCTCCTACAATAGCTCAGAAACAGCAGTTCGAAAAAGAACACCCAGGAACGGCGTGAAAAACAGCCCATATGGTTAAGCCCTGAAATAACGTTGGTGAAGCAATATGACGCACTTTCATTCTAGGATATCTGTGTTCGTCCAAATGTCACTTGGACGAACGGCACGCTTACGATGTCCGACAGCTGTGTAACTTATGGATGATAGATAAATATCATCGAAACAATATTGGGGTGTAAAGTAACTAATATATGAACTCCTGCTGAGAAATACTGTTTGCGAAAATGTGAGTTTTTTTCACGTCCAAAGTTTAGTTCCCTTCCCAGAGCTTTTTGCATGATGCAATGCACGTGTCGAGACGTTGGGAAAACTAAAAATTAGACGTATACAATTCTCTGTAATGCCGAATTAGAGCGCAGCTCTTGAGGAGGGGATGGGAGGGTATGGAGGAGAAAGTATGCCCCTCCTTCTCCTCCATACCCTCCCCTCCTTTTCACCTGCTGCCCTCATATTTAGCGAAAATTTCTCCGCTAAATTTCGCGGGAAAATATTCATGCTAAGTTTAGCGAGCAATTTAGCGAAATGTTTCCAGCTAAATTTTGCGAGAAAATTTCCCCGCTGAATTTTGCGGGGAAACTGAATTGGTATTAAAGTCACGTGAACGTCAATTTCTCCCCTAAATTTAGCGGGAAAATTTCCCATAATGCAACGCGCGCGGTTACGCCGACGCCGACGCCGACGCCAACGGCGACACCACTCAACTTTGAAACGGGCGCCTAAGAGCTGTGCTCTCAAATGTCTCATAGGATGAGGCCGGGTGAGTAGATGGGGTGGGGGACGAGGCAATGCCGTCTTTGGTCGAAAAGTGCGGAACGCTCAGCTCGGTGTGGGCAGAATGGCAAGCCGAGTTTCGGCGAGGCTGTTTCGTCCACCATGACAACGCGCCTCCCCCACCCCCACCAGGCTGGATGTTCAGCAATTTTGACCAAAAACTGCTTGACCCCCGTGCCCTACCCTCGCTGTACACCCGAAATTGCCCCTTGTGACCTCTTTTTTTAAGCATTAGATGCTTTTTAACGCTACTCGAATCCAAAAATTTTGTTCGCTCGTCCATCCATTCGTTCGTTTGTGCATTTCCCGCTAAATTTAGCAGGGAAAGTTGCGTCACGTGACATCACGTGACGTGAGGTTACTTTTACACCTTGGAGAAATTGGCATCACGAGACCTATATGCAAACTCAGTTTTCCCGCTAGATTTAACGGCAAAATTTCTGTGGTAAATTGACGTCACGTGATCTACATGCCAAACCAGTTGCCTGCTAAAATAACGGGAAAAATTATATCTTCTGACCTAGACACCAATCCAGTTTCCCCGTTATATTTAGCGGAGGAAATCAACGTCACTTGACCTGACATCACGTGGCCTATACAACCATTCACTTTCCTCGCTAAATTTCGCGGGAAAATAACGTCACGTGACACATGAACTCTCTCACCAATTCCTTATACATCATTGATACATCATAGGTCTTTGAAGATTACAGTCGTTGCTAATTTTTGTTTCTCCAAGTCGAAAACAGTTCTCTAAAGGAAACGGTTTGCCGATGTGAAAGTGGTGAAACAAAAAGCTGCTGAAGCACCAACAGACATTAAAATCGAGGAGTTTAAAGGCTATTATGACTATTGGAAGGAACGCTTCGACAAATGTGTAGCGACCAGCTTTTTTGCATATGGCGCGATCAACAAGCGGCGTGACACGCGTAGAGAACGAATACGACGAGCAGCATCAGCAGCTACGTCTCGGTGCTCCATGGACTGGGCCTCATCCTAAGTAATATTTTACATATATAATGAATAGTTAAATTAGTAAGGATCCAAAGCCTCGACGACTACAAAAGCATTACATTAGGCTGAAAGACTTTAAAAGTAACTGAAATTTGAACGTGCAAAAATAGACAACCGCTTTTGTAGACATATATTCCGGTTTCTCTTCGGTCCCCCCTTGTACATTCACTGCGTTAGATACAGAAGTCCTTTGTCGTTTTGAATGACCGTTTCAAAACATTCTTGGTACCATTGTTTCACTTTGCAATGCAAACACATTTCAACTTCAGCGGTTGAAAAGAATCTTCAAACGTTAATATGCGTTGCTATTAACTTCGTTTTCTACATGTCTAATTTTTAAAAAAAGTCAGAACGTTTTATATTTGCTGTATGGCTCAGCTTCTTCATGAATAATTATTTTGTAAAGAATTGCTAATAATATATGAAGTAGTTGTAACACCACCACTATAGATTTGTTTTATCATGGTAATATTTCGTACTCCCTAGACCCTAGGTTACCACCGAAGGGTTGGCCTAGAACGCCCAAGTCGCTATAAACAAAAATAACACAGTGGGGGTTCATCCTGAGTGCGAGCGAGCATTATTTCCACGAATGCTTACTAAAATAACAATCGTTTTTATAGCTATCATATTCAAGCGAAGCGTCTACTACACAAACGACAGAAATTCGTATTGCCTGCGGAAGCATTTCTACGTAAAATTGTATTGAGCAAGTGTTTTTGTTTGCACATGGTGTGAAATATGCAGGTAGTTTACCTCACACTACAACACAGATGGATGCTAAGATCGCTTAACAACAAGTACCGACTCAACCCGGAAGAATGTACGGCGTCAATTCATGCGCCACCATAGCGGAAGACATATGTCCAGCGATTAAAATGTATATTTTATTTGTTTTTTCTTTATTTGTTATTTATTGTTTTTTTTATACGCACCACTTATTGCAGATAAATATATATATATATATATATATATCTATATATATATATATATATATATGTATATAAAGAAACGAGGCTGGACACTAGTACGAACTGCTTAACTTGTGTCGAGATCCGAGCGTTTGCTAATCTTTGATTAGTGTTAACATGAAGATAATTTTCATATGTATATTCATTCCAGCAGCACTTGGTGAGTTCCGTTTCCTCACTTTTCCATTTGAATGCATGTTTAAGCGCATAATAAGTATGATTCATCGAAAGTGCAGAGCTGCCCTTGTCCTAGGCCAATTAAAAATTCAAAGTTTTAACAACGTTTTTAGTCCGTTAAATTTGTTCCCAAGAATATATTTACGCCTGTAATAAAAATTAAAATATAGTTTCGAGTTTTGCTATGGAAAACATTATTCAATGTATTTCGCTTGTAAACTAGAAACAAATGTTGAATATGTAACGAATCCAGGGATGTAATATTCCCGCTCTGCATGTGTTTCTGTATCCAATGAAATAATGCGAACTTTTACTTTATTATAGGTTATCCCGAAGGCAGAACGACTATGACAAAGAAAGATGTTTGTAAGATGAAGCCCCCGGTAGGGATCGCCCGTGGAATATTTCCCGGTTGGTTCTACAATGAGAGCCTTGATCTTTGTCAGTACTATGAATTTAGTACCTTCAAGCTTGAACATGAGAAGATCAACAAATTTTCAAATCTATCAGAATGCAGCAAAACATGCAGGAGTAAGTAGTTATGATTGCAGCGGTAGAAAATAAAAATCAAGTTGAAGTAAATTGTGATTTAATTCATGATTTAAATCAAATGCTTTTACTGTGATGATTTAAATCAAACATTTTTCGCGAAACTAATTCAGAAATATATCTTTATTTACTATTTGTCTACCATTTGATGCTTTTTATGTGAATTTGATTTGTATTTAACTCAAGGAATCATCAAGCAAGAAATATTTATGCCAGGCTGAGCACGAGCACAATGCATTGGTCTTCTTAGCAAATCCGAACGTCGGGCTTCTTTCGAACATCCAGATTGTTCGTCAGTTACATAACGTCCTGCTCCAAGTAAAAATAGGCGCGAAAGAAAATAATTACAACTAGAAAAGTAAATTCCTATAGCAAAAGAACAATCAGAACGCAGAAAAGCTTAGAAAATATATCTTTAAAAAATATCAGGTTGTTTTTCTTCTAGTATGGCAGGAGCTTCTGAATAAAACATGCTGTTTGAACGGTACATTAAATTTACAGTAATTCTTTTTCCGCAATGTATTTAGTAATCAGACGAAATGACCAATTTATCTATCATGAAAACATTTCACCTAATGACTAGGAAGCAGTATATTTTATAGCTTCACTGATTTAAAATAGCTATGATGTTAATCAAACAAGTTTTATTTATCTCATTTAAAAAGGCGTGATTTTGTTTTACATGGGCTGATCATATATGGCTTGACCACTTTTATAATTTAGAGTAGAGTATTAAGAACCTACATTGCATATTGTCTACTAATATTTAATACTATGCTCAGCTTGTTTAAAGAAGCTTTTTACAAAATTGATTTGATACAACGAAACACTGGCGAATGAAGTTTAAAGCCTTAACGCAAAATCTGTTGCCATGATTTATTGTGCGAACATTCATTGCTCGCAATATATGTTGTTTCAGCATTGACGCAAATGTACTCTTCACATCTATAAAGGCATTTCCGAAGGAAAACACGCGGTAAAAGTTAAATACATTGTGTTTTATGGACATCCAAACATTGATATTCCTATTTGTAAATGTGTGTGCTAATAAGGTTCAAGCCAGAAAACAAATATTTTTCTCACATAGCTTGAAAAGGGTAAAGAATGCTTGGAATATATAATATTGAAACGTGAACAAACCGGAAGACAAGCTTATGAGGGACAATTATATCCTTAACATGAGACCAAATTTTATCGTCTTTAATTCGTAAAGAAGGCATTAGGTGAGCTTGAAAGCGTTAAAAAAAAACAAAAAAACTCCACATCATTTTGGTAAATAACCGTAAAAGATCAATACGGTTTCTCGTGTTAGCAACTCCCATCATCAAAATCCACCATTTAACGTAAATGTTTGTGCATGTTTTTACCTTATCATATTTCGTGTGTAGAATTATATTAGGGTTACCTTTCCTGAGCTGTTTCAAAACAAAAGTTAAAATCCGTCTTCGTATGCATTTTTAGTGGCTAACGTTGGGTTGTTTAATGTTTAATTCATTTTATATGAAATCAGACGACCCTTAAAGTATTTTTGACGGTTTCTTTCAAAAGTAAAACCTAAAGCATTTCTTACGAATCATTTTATGATTAAGCATGAAGCTTACCGCCTAGACAAACCTCGCAGCAAAAGTAATTATTACCTCGAGTTCCCAGAATTTAAAACTGCTGACCTTATCAAGCCTTAAGTGTCCGCTGTGTATATTGCTAAAAACTGAAAACAGATGTGATTCATGACTGAACACGTAAAAAACTGAAACTTACACTGCAAATCCTTCTGACATTCTCTCTATAACGTTTAACTGCAGGTCACGTGCCAAGTTTTTGCTTTGATACCCCAAAGAAAACCGGCAAGAAAGCGCTAATTTACAAGTGGACTTACAATTCAACCCGAGGAAAGTGTGTTAAGTGGTACTGGGAGCCAGAAACAACCAGAGACTCAAATGTGTTTGAAATGGAAGGCGATTGTTTAGATATATGCCAAGGTATTTAATTTTTCTTTCCACTCCAGAAGCATAGTTGCGTTTTAGAGGTTTACAGAAATAATGGGATATATACAACCGATTGTTTTATTGAACACTGCTACAGACTCGAAGCGATCAATGTATTAAAAAGGTAAACTACCGGGTGCGATCGAGAAAATGAAAACAGATTTTGTGAACCACATAAATTAACTATGCGTTGAAAAAGGCTGCATCCTGCTGAGAAGGTTACGCTAGAAGTAGTGATATAAAGCGATAGATTACGAAGTCCAGCTAAGCTTCATATTCCTAAAAAAGAAATGGTGTTATGGTCACCGTAATTAATGTTTCTGTGTGAAAAAAAATGGTAGGAAACTAAATTATTACTTGCTGACAAGTTGTTTGCAATGAAATGAATGCTACAAGTGCTCAAATATAATTTCTTGGTGTGATAAAAATTAGGCTTAAATGAACGCCGGCTCCTAGGCAAACTGATCTTAAAAGTTTGCCTATGGCGGCTTTGCTTATGTGATTGGAAACATTAGAAATCGCTTTTTATAAACAATTTCTCATGTTCGGGTGGTCAGTCCAGTCTTATTTGTGAAATAACCGCGACATATCTGACTTCTATTTTTATCAGTGCCACAGTGTTTCCCTTCAAAAAGTACGCACTCTAATTTGCGTAACCTCAATAAATTAAACTGAATTTGTGATCATTTTAAGAGTTCTTAGCTTTGTAAATCAAAACAAATTTTGAAGTGTGACTCTTAAGATGGTACGAGCACGCGAGCAATTACCTATTTGAGCTTCGAGCTACACAGGGATCAGATAACTGACGCTTTTATTTATTTATTTTTATTTCAATACCTTCAAGGCCACACGGCATTACAGAAGGGAGTGAGGGAAAAACAAAAGTGCGAAAAATAGAATTCAACACATATTAGTTAACATAATAGTTTTCAATGGCAGACTTGAATGTAGGAGCGTCTGTGATTGTGGCGATGGAGGTGGGCAGGTGGTCCCAGTCATTAGTAGTTCTTGGGATAAAAGAATCAAAAAAGAGCTTGGTGCGACTGAAAGGAACGTTGACTTTATGGTGATGATCATTTCGATGGGATACATACGATGGTTCAGAAAAAAGCTCTTCACTTAGATGCTGGTTGTGATGATAAATTTTGTGAAATAAGGACAATTAGGTAATTTTCTACGCAATGAAAGATTCGGAAGATGTAAAGTTAGTTTCGTGGATGATACACTGGAAAAACTCGAGAAATTAGACAAAATAAAACGTGCGCCACGATTTTGTACGGATTCAATTTGATTATTAGAAATTTATGGCCTGGGTCCCACACCGAACTCGCATACTCAAGCTTGGATCTAACGAGGGTCTTCTACAGAAGTAGTTTTAATGATGAACGAGCCCTTGAGAAGTTGCGGCGTAAGCAACCTAGCATGCGATTAGCGTTGTTAGCAATAAAATAATGTGAGTTTGCCAGGAGAGGTCACATGTTATATGGACTCCTAGGTACTTGTACGAGGTCACCTGTTCAAGAACAGAACTTATGTTGTATTGAGGAAAGTTAGTACAGGAAGCTTTCCGTAAAATTCTCATTACTTTACATTTACCGGCCAATTTTCCGGACGTCACACCTGTTAGTGATGGAATTAAGGTCAGTCTGAAGAGAAGACGTATCAGTATCAGTATAGATTACACGATAAATCACACAATCATCTGCAAACAACCTTATGGATGACTGATCATTGTTAACGAGGTCATTTATGTATATGAGGAAAAGAAGGGGGCCGAGGACGGAACCTTGCGGCACACCCGAAGTAACAGGGCAGGGAAGAGAGTCTGAGTCGTTTGCAGTTACAAACTGTGTTCTGTTAGAGAGAAAATTTTCGATCCATGCAAGAATGTTAGAGTCAATGTTTAGTTTCTTTAATTTGAAGCAGACCAGTTGGTGAGGGACTAAATCAAAGGCTTTCGAAAAATCAAGAAATATGCTGTCGATTGGAAGATTATTGTCTAGCGCAGAGGGAACATCGTTTGTGAAACAAACCAGTTGCGTCTCACATGAGAATGATTTACGAAAACCATGCTGACGATATGTGAAAAATGAGTTGGATTCAAAGAAAGTTAACTAGGTTAGAATAGAAGATATGCTCCAACATTTTACATGGCACACTAGTTAAAGATATAGGCCTGTAATTAAGAGGAGAGTGAGCATCGCCTGATTTGACTAGGTTCTATTTATTTTTCTGTCTGTTCTAATTATTGTCCTATTGTTTCAACTAAACAGCGTTCGGCATTAGGACTAATTGGAAGATCAGTTGATATTACTCGTAATCTGTTTGCATACCCACGATTATTGACTCGGGATAATTTATTTTCGTTCAAACTGCAGTTTAAGGCGCCTGCTCTCAAGGGGCACCATAAAACGCCGTCTAAAAATAAACGTCATAAATGACTCAAAAGGACTGGTGCTAATATCCAGGATAACTCTTTCATACGTACTGGAAACGGCTGATCTGCGTATCGTTTTTGTGCCCTTCCTTGCTCCGGGGTTTGGCCCAAAGTTAACAAAGAGAATTACATTTTTTTTTTTAAATTTCGCACAAGTATAAAAGTGTATGAACTAAAGATTAATAGTAAAATAGCAAAATAACCAAAACGATCAACGTTGTCAATTTCGTTCTTAATTGTTTTATTATTATGTCATAATATCGTAGCCTACGCGCTAATCTGCTGGTATACGATTGTAACTTCTTAAACAATTCTACCAGATATACCCTCGAGTTACAATTTTTGTGTCCTAAATCGCCTAAGGCCCAAGAATGTATACACGTCTAGGTGCAGAAACGAACCTTCCGGCCGTTCATTGAAAGGCAAAACAACGCATTAAAAATATAAATCTGAATGTACTAAAAACACACGCCGCCATGATCTCTTGTCATTTGGGATTTCTATTCAATTGTTTGGGCGCGAACTGATTGTTCTCAAACTGTTTGTCGACAAGGGTGCACGTGCGCGGCAAAATGCATGACAATCTTAACAAAAGAAGAGTTTTAGTAACTCACTTCGAGGCGACTAGTTTATCTTTGATTGAGATCGGGATGACTTTTGTTCAATGGTTGCAATTCGTGGCACCTGAACTAGTCTGAAGGAGATAGACTCAAAGGTACCAACACAACAGAGCTGGGCGAGTTTCGATGACGAGTGCTATCTATATTTTAAGGCGGTTAAAAAAGCACCGTAGTCCTGGTCGAAGCAAAAATATTTTGCTGATTCCTTTGCATATACCTACAGTTAATATTAAAAGAAATATTCTTCAACCTTCATGCACTTTTAAGCCTGCAGTCGACGGGCATTGAGGCCACCATCGCTAGGTCAATATTGCTACTTTGCTAGCGGTGTGTTTTAATAAACGCAAAGAACTGGTAACATATCACTTTGGAGATCATTGCGTAGATTTTATATGCTTTATTCTTTAAGACATTAGAACTAATTAAGTGATTAGTTAAATAACTTTGAATATATGGGAGCTTAAGTAGAAAGGTGTGCGAGATACTCCTTGAATGTTAAAACTCGACGTTTACTGGCAGCTGTGGTACGTGCTCCCGGCGCGTTAATGAACGTCAATAATCACACAAACAGGCAACTTACTTTCATTGTTGCCTGAAAGTGCACACTGTAGCTAATGTTTCGTTGCTTAGAGTGGAATGTTTATTTGCGTGGCGGCCAATTATTGCTGCATAATATAGATTGAATTTCAGACTTAACAGCTCACATAACCGTTTTTTTCTCCAGGTCCCGACTACGGCCCTTGCGCGCAGCTACCTACCGAACTCGAACGCAGGCACGACAACACTCAATATTATCGCTACAATCTAACTTCCCAAACTTGCTACCTTGACAGAACGTACATAGGCATAAGGGGAGAGAACGCATTCCTGACCCTTAATGCCTGCTACGCACGCTGTGGACGTAAGAAAGGCCCTGGGCCCTGCTTATTTTTGTTATTTCTTTTAATGTTTTCCAGTTAATGCCGGATATTTATATTTAATAGTCACTAACCATATAACGATTTCTAAATTATGTGAATCATGTGAAAAACCAGACCAATTTGTAAAATCAGTCAGAGGTGGTAAGAATAACGTGAAACAAAACCTCCTGAAAACTTTAGAGTGACATCCAGCTTGAGACAGACTTTTTTGATATTACTGCACACTCTGATATTTTAAACGGGCGATGCAACGATATTAACTTCGAAAGAATTTCAGTTTTAAATTTTTTCATTGTTTATTTCCCCAAAAGAAACGTCGAAACCGCCTCATTCTTCTGAAATATCGCGAATCCGTTGCATAATAGAAAAAAAAAGAACGGGGTATATTTTCCGATTTGCAGCCGCGCTGTGGCGGCCACGAGAACTAAGGAGTGACGTGGAATGGGTAGAATGTGATAGGTTGGAAGAAATGTGCCATTATGTGCTCAATCTAATGCCATATTTGATAAATATTCCCGTCTCGACATGAGTAAAAACGTTAAAAAACCTCATGTCATCGACAAAGTTCTGCTCTATTCAGTTTTAGCGGCGCCATCTGCCCGAGGTGAAAGGAGCTATTCCTCCCTTGAGCCTCACCTCACTGTGCTACTATGTCAGGCGAACTTCCTTACAAAAAGGCAAGCTCTTTGCTCTCCTCCCCCTTCCCCACCTCTCCACATCACTCAAAGTCTCAGACCAACCTTGAAGGTCGCCATGTGAGCAGCAAGAAGAGTCGGCGCGCGCTGAAGATGCCCAACCGGGTACTCTCTATCCCCATTGCGCGTCACTGCGCACGTGACTTGGAAGAAGGTGAAAGGGTTGAGGGTGGCTTGTAGGCACCCAAAACGTCAATTGTTTTGCTTTTTTTCTTCTAGGGAACTAACGCGAGTGGGCAAACTTTTTTCAGTTCTTTAATCCATACGTGACAGGGAACAACCACCACTATTATTCAGCCGAAGTCCAGACATTGTTGTACAGCCCCTTTAAGAGTTACTGGCGCTATGGATTTCCTAGGAGGTTTTGTTTTCGAGGAATATTCGTAGAACTAACAATCACGCAGGTTCGTTTCGTAATTAAATAGAAACACTTTTTCTCTTATATTTTCCTTTTGCATGTACGTCCATCATGCTCACTTCGTGCCACGAAAAATGCTGCATTGGGACAATTTTTTTATGTCGTTCCGTGATCTTTTTACCACCCTCCTAAAATTATCAGAAGACTCCACTTAACCTTCTAGTATACGCTACATGTACTAAGTTGTGCATTCTTTAGAACATCGCATTAAAGTAATATAAAATTGTATTAGTAAGGATGAATTAAAGAAACTTAATTTGTTACTCGTTTTTTTTTTTAGTTTTGGGTCTGTTAACAGTTTAATGCCCTTTTAATAATGTGCTGGATACTACTACCACGTTTGCTTGCAAACGTTTAAGACATTCAAGTTAGAATTAAAGGCAGCACTTATGAACTGTCTAAAAATTTTAACAATGCATGCAATGTTACTACTGCCGAATTCGACTGGTTGTTTTGGAGCCGGGGAGGGGTCCACTTTTCTGAAGCGCGCCTATTTCACTGGGCGAGCGGCATCGAGATGGACGTGTTACAGTCGTCATTTTGGATCAGCTCCTGCACCAGATCTTGATCCGGATCCGAGAAAAACTCGATCCGCCGATTTCGGCGGATTCGACCAGAAGCCAAGCCGGCCAGCCCTCGGCGCGCACACGTGACTTCCTTTCTCGCCAAGCATATCGTTTCGAAAGATCTCGTAATGACCGCTCGCGAAGTGCCGCCCGCTTGGCTGCTACTGTTGCATAGTGACAGTTCGTCGTCAAGTTGCTCGAGCAGCTCCTTCAGCTGCAGCGGCTCGAGTAGCTGTGACGACGAAGGTTGCTTGCATGTCCCGCATGAATTCGATTGCCTTTCCGAACCTCCGTGGAAGAGGCCGAAGATCGGGACGTACTTGGACACTGTTTACGAGTACTCGGACGAATATGCAAGCGGGCTACCATGTTGCACATCGCTTATCGACACGCATCTTTCACGTTATGATTAACTTCGTTCGTGCGTTGAACGCGTGTTTTTAGCGCCACGATTGCGGGACCGTGGGGTGGCGATTTCTGGGAAGGTGAATGGCGGGAAGGCCTCCGCCGATCCCGGAGCAGTGATCATCGCTGTTGTTTAGGACGGTAAAATTACCAACTGAAACATCCTAAATATACGAACCGAATGTTTGCTTCATTGTGTACTCCACACTAAATCTGCAAGTTTAATCAGCCTCTGAAATTCAGAGAACTCACTTGACTATCTCCTTGAAGATTAGTGACCCACTTACCGGATAATGACAGCAGTTGTAATGATATATACTTAGTAGGAAAGAATCAGCAGCCTATGGTTTATATTGTTTCCTAAAATGAAGCCAGAATTCTTGTGGCAAGGCAGAATAGCGAGTTGGTTATAAACGCACGAATTATACTTATAAATGTTAACATGTTTTAAATGTTATTTTATGAATAAAAAAATATTCTTTTCCCATTGAGGTCGTGTATACAGCTACTTCTAAAACAAAACTTCCTTATTGTAGTGGATGAAGGTAGTTTTAATATCTTTATTTAGCAAAGCTGAATTGAGTATTAACGCCTCTGTGCTATTATTCATTATTTAACAAGGATTTGTGAAGAACAAATGCAAGCTACCTGTGCAGGACCTCGGTATGTGCAGTCGAATTGGCCCACGATATATGTTCGATCGAGAGGAGAAAAAATGCAAGAAATATACTGGTTGCGATCATCATGGTATCGGTTTCTACAACCAAAGCGAGTGCTACAACACATGCGAAAGTAAGTCATTTTTGCTGGACTAGTCGGTACCTACGGAATACATACAATTGTTTGAAAGGGGGTCAATGTAACTGCGAAGTGATAAACAACATTTTTCGTACTGCCTAAGATCAACCTTGACTGTGCGTTAGTGTCTACTATATACTCTGATCTTGAATAGGCCAAAATATCAGACGAATGTACTATTTAAAATGAAACTAAATTAACCCATATTTTACACAAACTAGAAAATTTAACAAATTAGTGTCGTATTTAACTCTATGAAAATGACAAAATTAAGTAGGCGTTTGTATGTAATAACCGTCGGATTTCTTGCCATCTAGCTGTTTTATAATTTCACCAAGTTTGAAAGGACGGTACATTGTTACGGCTCTCTGTTCAGTTTTGCTTTATTAAAAATTCCAATTATTAAGGATTTTATAACACAAGTCGTTTTATGTTCTATGACCAAGATGTTGTCAAAATATTTTCACAACTTCACCTTTTTTTGGAAGCCCGTGAGGTCTGACAGTGGTGCTCTATATGTCGAGCGCTGAAATCTTGCAGTGCTTGTTGCAGTATACTGACGTGTAAGCGTCAAAGCAGTGTAAACTACAATCAAAATGTGAAATAATTTTGCATGCTAAGCAGTACATTGTTTTAGTATGTTCTATACAGTACAACCCAGATTTTTTTTTTTTTTTTTTTTGCGTCAAGTCACCCTCGTTTTTAACTAGGCTATAGGCACTGGTGAGACATCGAGAACGTAAACAGACACGGCTAGGAAAAGACACGTCTCGTTTAAGCGTTTGATGTTTGCCGAGCTCAACTGCGCCTGTACGGAGCTACTGACGCGGATGGAGCGCGTGGTTCGAGGCGGCAAGGCCATGACGTCGTGCTCAAGCCGCTTGGTCAAGACGCAGCTTCCGGCGGCGGAACACCTGGGATCGACGCAGCACCAAGCAACGGCGCAAACCTCAAGGACGGACTGCGATGACCTCAACCACACACACTCCGGGGAACGCTGTTATAGTTTTCGGAGGTGCTACGTGCGCGGCATCACGGTCCGGCCTTGGCCTACCGTACTGGATGCGGCCGACAACGCAGCCTGTCGCTTCCTCGGCTTTGGACTACGGTCGGGACGCCCAAGCTCTGGCCCGCAAGCGCCTCATTCGATATGTGGTGTGGCATGTTCCGGCGACACATGATACTCCTACCTGCATGCGGCCCACGTGGCCTACGTGAAGGACGTCTTTTACTCGCCCTTGGGTGAACGTTATAAAAGCAGGATATTCTTTTGTTAGAGGGGTGACTTCGAATGGGACTCAGCATGCTGCTTGCTGTAAATATGCAATAAACCTATCATGTCAGTCCTAAAGGAGTTGCATCAAGGTGCCGGCAGATTGGCACCGCAGCCCGTCGAGGGACAACTAACCCGGTTGTCGAACGTGGGGCGCCTTCACGAACAAAGGTGAAGGAGGCGGTTGCAGAAGTGCCGCAATCGACAGGATGTGCTTAGGCTGAGCTGAAGATCTCTGCTGTGTCGAGGGACAACTGGGACTGGTGAAGGCGGCGACCTCAAGCTGAACCGCGGGAGCCAGCAGACACTCCAAGCTAATCCGACCAGCGCGGCACCGAGGGCTAGGCAGCGCAGCGCTTCGGTAGTTAGGCGAGTACCCCCTTGGTTCCTGTTGAGCGCATGTTATGTCAAAGCCTTGGCTTTTGAGGAATGATATCGCTAAGGAAACAGGAGAAATGGCGGATGGGGCTGGAGGTGAGTTGGCACTCACAGGTCAGACGAGAGGAGCAATTACCACACCAGAGTCGGCGTCGGAGCAGCAGATTATGCTGCTGCAGTTACAGTCGAAAATCGCTGAGGCAGAACGGGAGAGGCAGCGAATGGATCTGGAAATCCAGCGGCTGCAGTCTCAGTGTAGCGCAGAGCCTGTCGAGGTAGACAGCAGCGTTGCGATGGGCGCAAATGCGGACAAGGATTGACGGCTGAAATTCGCAGGTCTATTAAAAGGTGTTCTTGCACCAATGCCGAGCCAGGAGGCACTCGTGCCAAGCTGGTTTGAAGAAGTAGAAGCTTGGTGTCGCAGTAGCCACCTTACCTGCTATGCAGGTATCCCAGCCACCAGTATCGCGATAAATATATCTTTTTTTTTTTGTTCTGCTTTCACTGGAACCTGTAAAGGCGTGTTATACTCCGACGTCTCCGAAGCGTTAAGAAGCAATGGCTGAAGTTGGCTACGTCACGTTGAAGCCGCCTACAGCGCCTTAAAATGGCGGGCCCGTGCAGTCAAATTGAACCGAGGCGGGCAGAGGTGCTGATTTGGCTCGCTAGCGGTAAAATGGGCAGGCCCTTTCGGAAAGAAGACCAAGGGCTACTTGACGAAGAAATTGCTACTAAAAACCGAACTTCCCACCTATCGGATCACATTAACCCTCCCACTTGAATGCTCCGCGTACGACATGAAAGTAAGACCTAAAACAAAAATTAAAAAAAACTCTGTAAAAAAAAAGAAAAGATGGGACGACGTTTTAAAAACACACAAAGTCAATATAATAATTCAGAGTAAAAAGGTACCATGCACTATTGACCGCTTCAAAAAGAGGCCGACACCGGTTGTTCCTATGGGTCATATCACTGGCGACGTCATTTGCCAGTTCTGTATCCAGAGTTTTCTAGCTTTAATTCGCGTATATCGCAAGAAAAACGTTGACGATCCCCGCCACACACACACGCACACATACATGTATACACACGCACGCACGCACGCACGCGCAGAGCGCCACACAAACACACACACACAAACACACACACACACACACAACTGCAACTCGTCGCGGCAGAGCCAACGCGCCAGAGCTATCTTCTGCTCTCATTCTCTGCACTTCTGTCGCTCTCTTTCTTGTTCTTTTGTTACGGGATTACTGAGGTCAGCGCTACGATTTGCCGCGTTCTGCTTCCATGTTTACCCTCTGCAAAAACAGCTACAGGGTTTATTTAATGTAGACATTATTTATATCCTCGTGTTACGAATTGTTGTTTACGACATGAAATTGCAAGCTGCTGCATTATTGAGCTAGAGCTCTTTGACAGGTAATAAAGCCTTTAGGATTAATATAGTGATATCGAACATAATAGTCATCTTGTTGTTTTACACAAAACACTGAAGTTTATGACTGTTTGTAGCTGAGCTAGGTGGTTATTCATGCTTTTGAAAGACGCCAGCTTAACGTAGGTGTATAGCAAAGTGGGAAGGTGGGCCGGTTGGTTCATATTTAAATATATAAAAAGCGATGAAAACGACAGGGCAAAAAATAGCAAATACAACACAACGCTCCCTCGCAACTGAAGTTAATTTAAGAAAAAAAAAAACAATTAAGGCTCCAAATACTGTGAAAGTGATTGGACAACAGAGCAGTGGTCTCACCTGCAATGATTGCCCACTGCACTATAGACCCTTTTTATGGAAAACGCCACCAGGCGGTGCTCCACTCTTTGACGTCGCAGAGAACTTCCGGTTTATAACAAGAATGAACGGCGAGTTCGCATTGCTACCTTTCGTCGGCCGCACTCCGGCCGAAACGTTGAAGAATAAACCATCCGTTGTTGCTGTTTTCACCAAGGGTTTTTTTTCTTCCCAGCTACATATCCACGCCATCGGCCTTCCGCCACCCATGCTCATCATATATATATATATATATATATATATATATATATATATATATATATATATATATATATATATATATATATATATATATATATATATATATATATATATATATATATATATAATATATATATATATATATATATATATATATATATATACTGTGGTATTCTTGCTCGACGCTATATCCTTGCTCGCCGCTCGCAGCGATGTGGGAACTATAGTTCTCACCTCTGTGAGCTTCACTCTAAGTTCTGCCAGTGCCACTAAACAGGACAGCAGGAGCAAGGCGAGAGAACGAGACAGCTTTAGAGTTATCATTTTGACAAAGCACGTGATACAATCGACGTCGTCCTACTTGCTCTCGGCTGTGTCGAAGACTGCTCGGCGTTTTTGATTTCCTCAGCGTGAATCTTGAGCGTACTCCCCCGACATGGCACATCAAAACAGCGAGTACACATCCCTCGGGGTCAATGGGATGTTTTCCTGCAAGACTGCTATGAATTTCTTTGCCTCTCACTAAATATCTGGTGAATGCTGTAGTCCAGAGGTACAGAGCTACCACGAGCAAGCCGTTCTCGGCCTTGGCGGCACACGATTTACCAACTTCGTCTGGCGTGCCACCGAAATCGATGGGTACAGCACAGACCCGTACTCACTTGGATAACGAGTACATCACGATTTCATAGGTGCTTCCCTGTGAATTATGAATGGTGATATAACTTGTCTGCACAACGGGTAGCTGGCATCTCCCCTCCTCTCTGTACCCCAACCGTAGGCGTTTGAGATGAGGGAAGAAGGAAATGAGTGCGCCAGCGAACCCTCTCTTGCCCTTTCAGGGAAAGAGTTTATTTATCAAGGGGGTTTCTTCGATAGTTTTGATGAATAATCGTTCCACGACGGCATATATTGTGTTTGAAAAATGATTTCAGTTGCGAGTGCGCTTTGAGTTGTATCCACTCTTTTTTGACCCTGTCGTTTTTTGGCGATTTGATATATTTGAGTAGAAATTGGCACGGAGAAAGTGAGATATAGAAGAAGAGGGGGAGAGAGAGAAACAAAGAGAGAAAGAAGGATAGTGTTTTTTTTTTCACTTTCTCACTGTGTTATTTTCTACGTTTAGCTCGCATCTTTCAGAAGTACGGAACTTAACAACGAGGCCAGTGTCCGCTTGACTCTCAGAGCCATATTGTCAACAACGGAAATAAAGTGTTCGATCTGGCAAGGGAACCTGTGATTTATTTTATAAATATCATATTGGTAATATCATTGTTATTTTTCTTCAAAAGGTCCCGTTGACAGAAGGTGCCTTCCGGATCTTTCATTAAGATATTGCAAGCCAAAAGACGACGTATTTTATCGGTATGACCAGAAGAAAGGAAAGTGCTTCCTTGATAACAATTACCATTGCCGTGGGAGCAACGGGTTCGTTTCGGAGGAGGATTGCAACAAGATATGTGCACGTAAGATGGGCGCAAATCCTGGTTTATTTTATGTTGTTTTTATAATTATCAAGTTTCATGTGTATAGGTGAATTTTTCGGTTGCGGTATGTTGAGAAAACATTATATATATAATAACTACACATGAAGAGCAACTAACTCGTCCTGGTTTCCGTTGACTCCATATCTTATCAAAGAATTCTAAATTTTACACCACAACGACGTCTATAAATTGCCTTTTCAATTCACCAAACAGTTATACAACAATAATAAAAGCAAATTTGTTGCTTGTTTCAGTGAATGTTGCAGTGATACTCAAATCTAACATATTTCTTTATTCTTTAGAGATATCCCACAGAAAGCTTCGGGCCTGCTTGAGCACGCTCTTTGAAAGGCTTTCACTCAACAAATCATAGTTTAATCGTAGAGTGGGCATAACCTCTTAGTATTTCAGCTGCGGAAGTCTGGACAGCTTCTCTTGTAAAATTGTTTTAAAAATATACTTAAACTAATGTTCTAGTTGGTTTTTTTTTAACAAAAAAAACATTAGAAAAATAAGAATCCTTTGGAATAAACTAGTGGACCTGTTATTGTAGGAGTAGCGCAAAAGTAAACTCACTCACGCTGAAAATGCACGTACACCAGAAAAACGGTCCCGCTTACTGAAGAAGTAACGCTTACTGAAAAGGAATTGTTATATCTTGACTCTCGAAGGTAATGTGCAAAAGGCATTGCTGTTTGTTTGTACAGAAGAGAACGAAGTGAGACATGACAAGTTTAATACGGGTGAAAGAAAACGGAAGAAGACGAAAATACAATTTGAGTTGTAAGTCAGCGCGACGTGAGTGACCGTTTTTCTGGTGTGCGTGCATTTTCAGCTTGAGTGAGTTTACTTTTGCGCTTCTCCTACAATACGAATACCCAACTCGCCCAAGCATCCATTCTAAGTAGTAGACCTCGGCAGTTGCAAAGACAGGAATGAGATTCTTAAGTAGAATTGTAATTACCTAATATTTTCTAATACATTTTGCAAATATTCGTCCTAGCTCGAGCATTCCAATTAGAATGTATTGAAACCATTCACGTTTACATGGCTGGCACGTGACGTGATTTAAAAAGCAGTCCGCTGACCACCAGAGAAGAGGGGAGAAGGAGCTCCTGTCTTACCAGTATTATGTTTTGTCCCTCCCGGATTTGCACAGACGTTGCCATTCTCCTCCCAGAATATTATAGAACATTAACGCGTCACTCAAAGTTCTTACAAAAGCAGCTTCCCTCTAGTCCTCTTACATGGTGGTCAAAAGTATGCGATGTGACGTCAGTGCAAGCCATGTATGCTATAGCAGTTGCTAGGAGTTAGAAAACCAAATGTTTCTCCGAGCTATAGATGTACAAAGTATGTACAGTCTAGAGTCCGCCATTCCAAACCTTATGGGACACAAAGGTGCCAAAAGTCGCGCACCCGCCTTTACCACAGACAGGTACCACCTATAGATAACCGAACTCTGTCAGGTCGTCTCCCTATGACTAGCTACTTGCGCCCACTGCTGTCTCAGCAGGAGGCGCGAGTAGCGTCCGCTGCTGTCGTCGCTGCTACCCGAAGCTAGGCGATGGTCTACGGGTCACCATGTGACGGCTTCAAATCCCGGCCGAGGTGACTGCAATCTGATGGAGGGTTATTGCGGGGAAGGTATCGTGTAACTCGAGATTTCGGTTGCAGGTCAAAAGATCCCCAAGTGGTCGAAATTAGTACCCAGTCCTTCGCAGGGGCCGGCCAAATGTCCTTCGTTGGCTTTGCACGCAAAGCCCCCGAATGTTTTATTGATTAGATGTCGCTTTTGGTAGGACTTTCGTCACTCTTAGGCAACTGCTCTTACTCACAGCCGCTATGGTATATTTTGACGACCCACAATTCACCTTTAATTAAAATGTGCCAACTAAGTTCAATATCTCGAAATTTAATTAGAAATCGTCTAGTCAGCTTTCTAATTATTAAATTATATTCGTGACATAACGTCTGCCGTGGTCGATAACGTTATACCGTAGAAATAATCGCTTTTTTCAAGCACGCTTTTTAAAAGCCTGAAATCCCAAATATTTGTCCATCCGTCCATCCCTCCGTTCTTGCATTTTCCTCTAAATTTAGGGCGGAAACTAAATTGGTGTTATGTCACATAGCGTCATTTGATATCCGACAACATAGGTCATTTGATCTATACATCATTAAGTTTCCTTGCCAAAATCTACAGGAAAATTGGTGTCACATAACCTGACGTCTCGTGACCTATACAACAATTTGGTCGCCCGTTATATTCAGCGGGGAAATTGACGTACCCTAACTTGACGTCACGTAACCTTTAAGCGCCGTTAACACTCTTTCGACCGAGTAAGACCGAGAGAGACAAGACCGGTTTTTAAGCCTTTTGCGATCTCTTAGGACCGGATGCGATGCAGCGGAGCTGGTCCTAAGAGATCGCAAGAGGCTTAGAAACCGTTCTGGTCTCACTAGGTCCTACTCGGTCGCAAGTGTGTAAACGGGCCTTTATAGCAATTTACCGTTACCGCTAAATTCAGCGGGAAATTGACTGTCACGTGACCTGCCATCACGAGTTTCCCCGCTAAATTTAGCAGAAATATTTACGCCACGGCACCTGACATCACGTGAACTTAACACCAATTCAATTTCCCCGCTACGATTAGCGGGGAAATTGATGTCACGTGACATAAACCTTAAGTCTCTTTGTGAACTTCAGCGGGGAAATTGACGTCACGTGGCCAGTCAAAACGCGACACATGCGTCAGTACAATTTTTCCACTAAATCTTGCGGGAAAATTGTTGTCCCGGGATCTATACACCAATTTAGTTTGCTGACTAGATTCAGCCGGGAACTTCGCACCGCATGACCTACGCAACCAGTTTTCTCGCTGAATGTTCCGGCAAAACTCATTTGAAAGGTTCTTCATTCCCTGAAATGACGCTTTATTCTCCTCTAAAAATATTTAAAATATTGCACTTTAAATACCACATTCGATGCATTATTGCACTTTGCAGATAAAGGTCGCTGCCTGCTTTTTTTTTTATAATCCTTGATGAAACAACCTGTTTAATGCATGAGTTTTATTGTTCTTTCTTTGTACCAATTTCGTTCGTGACAAATCTAGGATACTTCCGTAATACATCAACATGTAATACACATCAAAAGGCATATCTACAACCAAGAAAACGTTGTGTGTAGTGATATAGCTCTAATGAAATGAAAATCTGACTGCGTTATTTCAAAGTACTCCACTCCTTTTTGCCGTTCCTGCGACTCGTAGACACCGCACACTCTGGAAGACCACCCCTCATAGCCTCAACTGCCGCCCCAGCTGCCCGCACCCAGACGGATGCTAACTGCGGAGTTCTCTTCTGTAGTCAGGAGTTCTGTTCCGCATTTGAATATTTTAGTATTCGTAGAAGCTAAACATTAATCTGGGGCTCATTGCCGGGGTATGTAAGTTGTTCATCATTTCTGTGGCACGAAAAAACCGTGACCTCATTTTAAATCACTCTTCCCAGTTTTTCGGCCTAGTCATTTGCGGAGTTTTTACGCTAAGAACATATCTAATTGGTGAATTCGTTCAGATAGTCGTACTCGTATCTGAATATTTGTCAAAACATGTTGAAATATTCAAAAAACTATTTTAATTCTGAAAAATAGTTCTTTTTTTTTTGCGTACGAGATTTGGTGTGACTTTCCCTGATTCAAATCTGAACCTGAAATGCACGCTCTTTCTTGTTTCTTTTAGAACGAAAATAATTCAACTGGAGTCAATCACTCTTCTGCATTTGCTACACCTGTCGCGCCTCAAGTTCGAAACTGGAAGCATTCAGAAGGAATGTCAATTACTAGTGCTGTAAAATGAAGGACAATAATAAATTTGGCTTAACTGTAACCTATATTTGCACTTTGAATAAAACGACCTTTTCTGCTGCTGAACATCGCGACTAAAACAAATTTAATATGAGTGCCATAAAACGTAGGCAGTATACTAATTAACTTTAATTTCACAGATACATTTGTGACATTTATAATACAAGGGTAACGAATCTCGTAGGAAGAACCCCAAAAGAAATTTTGCGTGAGTATCAACATGGCAGATAGCAAGCTATGCAGACCAGACAATACCCATTAACATTTTGAAAGTAGGTCGAAACAAAATTCAGCGCTGTAACGTGGAGGCTTCTACAGGGTATATTTTTATAGTAGTAACTAGTTCAACGAAATCCGCTCTTTGCGACAGGGCTCTTGGCTGCAGTTGGTGCAATCTCCCAACTGTCTCAACTGCACAGAAAATGTTCGAATGCATATGTATTTTCCCGGGCAGAGTTGGCGAGTGTGGGAGATATGGGGGACAATAAGTTCAAGCTTACGGACGCTTTTGCATGTCATGGTTTGGCAGCTCTTGACGCCAAAACTTGTGCTCAAAACATGTATAAATCGTCCAATTTATTTCGGCTTTTAATGCAGGTTTGTTTTTGTGGGACGTTCGACTAAAACATCTGTCCTAACCACTTCGTCAATGACGACTAGATATTTGAAAGTAAATAGTACAGAACGAAAGCAGTTTTATTTCGACCAAAAAGTATAGTAATAAAAATCTCAATACTGATTTTATACAATTTATGTGGTATCAAAATTAACAACTTAAAAAAAAACACTTCGCGTAATATTATTGGAGCATATTACTTGGACATTTTGTGGAGCACCACTGTATAGGTCTCCCAAAGCTCCTATTTTAGTTATGAAAGGATTTCAAGATGATCTTAGCAATAAGAATATAATCGAAACAAGACTTATCAAGGCGGCAGATTTTAGGTCGACTGGAGCAAATTATAATAAGCTTGATAGCACAGCGGTGAACGTGAGTGATTGGTAGATTGAATTTTATATTGCATTTAATGGCAATCTAACTCAAGTCGTAACTGATTACACCCGAGAAGTTGGAAACACTCGTCCAGTTCTAGATTTAATATTTGTAAGCAGTCATTTATCAAACTTTGAAATGTCTGTCCACGATGGCATCTACCGAAAAATTCTGTATAACTTTTCACTATCCAGATTTTGGAACCGGAAATTTGTTTCTGGAAACAGAAATCGAGATTTCATACGAAGGAATAATTTCTGAAAACCTAAAATCCAGATAGAGACCAGTAAAATCCAGATGGATTTCCGGTTCAATAATCCGGATAGCCTGTCTCACCATAAGTTCGTGTTTTTATCTTTTTAAAACGATTAGATGTAAGTAACATGAAAGAAGGTCTGTTTCTGAGGCTGATCTTTCTAAAGCGGACAACGTCAGTGTGTTAGATTACATCGAGGAGTCATATGACAATTTTTCAGCACTTGAAGGGTCTATGTGACGTGGACTTTTTATGGGCCGAGTTAAAATATGTTCTTTGTTACTGTTTAGAAGGTCTCATCCTAATATGATTAAACCCATAAGGAGGTATAAACCCTTGGTTACTAGATAAATTATCAAACTTGAACGTAAGATTTATAGTAAGAGCCCTCGTAAAAAATCAAGCAAACAAACGTTTTTAGACATTCTAAATCCTAATAAGGAGAAACTGATTGCCGCGAACAATCACTACTTCACTGAATTTCTCCCAAGTTTTATGAAATCGGTGCCACAGAGGTTTTGGTGTTATCTAACACCTTCAAAAGAGCGATTTGAGTACATTGTTGCAAATCATGATGCGGTTCCGATCCATATAATTTGGCTAATGGGTATCATAAACATTTTTATGGCGTGTAAACGATGGTGCTTCTATATATGATTTTGGGATTGATGAGACGAGTTCTAGTACAATGCAAGATTGGACTTTTACAAAGGAAGGGTTATCATCATTGTTATTAAACGTGAATATAAAAAAATATATTGGTACGGATAAAAAATCAATTTAGTTAAAAATATGCCGAGTGGGTTTGAATATACTGTCAATCGTGTTTTCGGAGTTCGATGTAGCATCATCACGTTCCTGCTGATTGGCGAAGAGCGTGGGTCGATTATTGTCCCGTATCCTTGATGTGCAAAGTGTGTAAACTGTTTGAGCATATTTTATCTAAACCGCTACACACTTTTTGAGTCATGCAACGCTTTTCATCCTAATCAACATGGGTTTCGCCAAAATGACAATTACGCAACGGATTAAACACTTTGACGATTTTGCGGCTTCTGTCAAGCGAATAAAAGATTGATACGGCATATGTTGACCTATTAAAGCGATCGAGTGCCTCGAAATGAATTCCTTCAAAAACTATTTTCCTATAATATGAGTCATAACGTAATAATATGGATGTTCCCATATTTATTTCATACTGTATAGTTTGTAGAGGTTAATAGTGTCTGTACAGATGTATTAGCGGTACCCTCTGGCGTCCCCTCAGAGGTCGATTTTAAGGCCAGTATTATTCTAGATATACGTTAACGACCGTGCTGCTTTAGACAGTCCTGATGTTACAGTGCGGTTATTCGCGGATGATTATCTGATATGCTCAAGGAACGAAACGGATTATATCCAATACTATTTCAACGTTCTGTCAGGTCTATTCAATACTGGTGTGCAAAATGGAAAAGGTAAGTTAATGCTCAAAGGAGGTTTTGCCTGAACAGTCAGTAAAACTAAAAATGTTCTTCCTTTCAACTGACCATTCGACTGGCGTCCATTAATTGAAGTACAGGGTATAAAAAAAAAATTGGTGCCATAATTTCAAAAACATCTAAGTTAGAGCGAAAACGTCCACGGAATTCGCCGTTCTGCAATTAAAACCTTTGGTATCATGGCTACATCTTAATATACATTGAAAAACCTGCGGAAGCATTATCTTAACTAGTAAAACACATGCAGTCAAAGACATTAAACCACCTCTACAAAAACTAAAATTTTTTGTTACTGTTAGTTTTATAAATTGTGTTGCTGGTTGGTACCTATATCTGTACCGAACAAACAATGGTTTACGGGATAAGGTACTGAGCGTTCTGCGAACGTTTACATGCTTTATAAAGGAGATAAAGCTCATCTGTCTCTTCGTCCTATTGACACTGGGTAAATGTCAGCCAATATTGTCATTATGCTGAAATATTTATGGTTGTGTTACGTACGTAAAACAAGAGAACTTATGAGAGCAGTGACTTCAAGAAAGTCTAAAGAAGTGACTGCTGTTTTGATCATTCATTCATTCCTTCTTTTGTTTATTCGCTTGCTTATTTGTTTTTCTGCTCATATGCAGCTGACGACTTGGTATTTATGCGCAAACAGCAAGATTAAAGTAAGTCAGAAGTTACCTAAATGCTTTGATAAGTATTTAATCAACCTTAAAATAATATGTGTGCATAATATTTAAAAATCTGACATACTTATATCAGACATGTATTGCTTTATGCTGGAAGGGGATTACCTATCACAAATGCGCACACGTTGAAAATAAGTTAAAATGGAGTGTCCATTCCTGTCACTAGTGGTTAGGTGGTTGTGTTCTACGGAAATAAAGCGCGCCACTTTTTTTAGGCAAGACCTTTCGGACTGGCTTTTTTTTTTTTTTTTTGCACAGCACGAAATAGTTGGTTATCGAAGACCGAAAAGAAAAACCCATCATGCATCTTTTACAATGGAGTCGGTAGCTAGCCCTCTTTTCGAAAACACCGGAGAAGCTGGAAATGAGGACAAAGTGATCGTCGATCAAAAGCAAATCTACATGCTTTTTCAACTCCTGATCGTTGATCTTGAGAGGAGAGACAACTTTTTTTTAGAGCGCAGCTCTTAGGGGCCCGTTTCCCGCTTGAGCGGCGTCGGCGTCGCCGTCGCCGTCGGCGTAACCGCGCGGTGCATTATGGGAAATGTCCCATAATGCACCGCGCGAGCCCCCCACCGGGGTCACGTGACCTCGTGGGGGGTCACGTGGACCCCCCGAAGTCACGTGACTCCCCTGAGGTCACGTGACCCCCTCCTTGAGGTCACGTGACCCCCAGAGGTCACGTGACCCCCGCCGATGTCGCGTGACCCCCCGATGACGTCATCGTCACTGATGACGTCACCGGCATCCACATCGTCATCGTCATCATCACTGATGACGTCACCGGCATCCACATCGTCATCGTCATCAGTGATGATGACGATGACGATGCCGGTGTCGCGTGACCTCTTGGGGTCACGCGACACCGGCATCCGCATCGTCATCATCACTGATGACGTCACCGGCATCCACATCGTCATCATCATCACTGATGACGTCACCGGCATCCACATCGTCACCATCACTGATGACGTCACCGGCATCCACATCGTCATCGTCATCATCACTGATGACGTCACCGGCATCCACATCGTCGTCGTCATCATCCCTGATGACGTCACTGGCATCCACATCGTCATCGTCATCATCACTGATGACGTCACCGGCATCCGCATCATCATCGTCATCATCACTGATGACGTTACCGACATCCGCATCGTCATCGTCATCATCACTGATGACGTCATCAGTGACGTCACTGATGACGTCACCGACATTCGCATCGTCATCGTCATCATCACTGGTGAAGTCATCAGTGACGTCACTAATGACGTCATCGGTACCCGCATCGTCATCGTCACTGATGACGTCATCAGTGACGTCAGTGATGACATCATCGGCATTGGGGGTCACGTGACCCCAAGGTCACGTGACCCCCCTGGTTAGTTTAACCCCCCCCCCCCCTCCAGTGCCCTTCCCTCCTCCTCCTCAAGAGCTGCGCTCTAATTCGGCGTTACAGGGAGTTGTAAGCGGCTTTCATTTTTTTTTTC